GAAGGCGGGGGAAGGTGCGGAGGCCGCAGGAGCAGTGCCAGCCGGCCATGCACACATACACACACAAGAGAGAGAGAGAGAGAGAGAGAGAGAGAGACAGACAGACAGACAAAGCGATAGAGAGAAAGAGCCCAAGGCCGTACACGAGGGGCAGACAGGGAAGCCTCTACAGCAGGTGGCTGAGGCGAGTCTCCGCTGACGAAAGGCTGCTCTTGAGGGACATGATGGAGGTACGTCTGCATGAAGCAAGGCAAGACGGGTCAGGGAAGGGGGAGGGGAAGAAAAACACACCCACAAGGTAGGAGTACACGGGGATAAACGCACAGGCTCAGGAGCTCCTCCGAGATGAGGAGCCCCTCGCGAGGGGGGAACAGAAGGGCCACCGCCCGCTCCGGGTCCGCGGCCAGGAGTTCCGCGGGAACTGAGCTGCCTGCTCCCTCTTGGGCGGCGGTCGCCGCCATGGCCGCGCCCTTCAGAGAGCCGATGCGCTCCTCCAGCTGGGCCGGGATGCGTGAAAGGGTCAGGGGGCAAGGCGGGGATTGACGGGAGGCGAAGATCATTCAAGGGGCGCCACGGCATGGGATGGATGTCCAGATGCAGGAAGGCCCATGAGGGGAGACAGAGAGAGAGAGGGGGGGGGGGAGGCGGGGGGCAGGGGCCATGTCAACGCACCCGCTCAAGACCAAGCTGGAGCTGCTCCACATGGCGCGACTGGTCCTCCAGTCGATTGAAATGCTCCTGCTCGGCTGTCGAGATGGTGGCGGATTTCGACTTGAGGTCTGAGGTGGCGAGGTTGTTGCCAGCGATTGTCATTCGTTCGGCGCCAAAGGGGCAAAAGGGGGGGGGGGGGGAGGACACGAGCGGGTCGGTTAGATCCTCGGCGCATGCCACATATCTCGAGGGCGCCATCGCCCGGCCGGAGAGGGACGTACGCAGAATAAGCAGCGCCGACAGCTTGGACTTCAGGGCCTCGGCACGAGCGGTGTTCTGGCGAATGCGCTCCTGCAGCTGGGTGTTCTGCCCCGACAGCTTTTGCCACGCTTGGTCGAGGAGCTCCGCCTCCTCGGTCTGGCCGGCCTTCGCCTGGTCGATGCGGTTGAAGATCATCATGAACATGCTTGACACGTAGGACAGGATGGGCAATGACCGGGCCCGAGCAGCCTCAGCGAAGGTCTCGGCCAGCATCTGCATCTTTTGCTCGTCTGCATGGTCATCTGGGTGTGCGAGCGGAAGGGGAGAAGCCAGAACAGAACCATCCGGGGGGGGGGGGGGGGGAGTGAGAGGAGAGGGGAGGGGAGAGGGCGGGAGAGAGGAGGGAAGACCGGGACCAGCCAGGTGAGAGATGAAGCATATGGTGGAGCACAAAAAGGAGCAGCGAAAAAGCGAGAGAAAAGGAGGGAGCGAGAGAGAGAGAGAACAAGCAGGGAACATACCGACAATCATCCGGGTACTGATGGGGATCTCATCCAGTAGGGAGCGCACATACGCCACATGATCGGAAACCGATGCCTCATTCCCGGGTACCAAGACGGGGACCCGGCCGGGCGGGGCCGCGGTCCCCGAGGCCGCATGCTTGGCCAGGTCAAAGGGCAGGCAGGCGGTGGTGAAGGTGCCGCTGCTCTGGTGCAGCGACACCACCAGCAGGGCGGGGCAGTCGCCGGAGTCGGTGCCCGGCCGGAGGGCCAGCGGCCCGAGGTCCGGTCGGACCAGCAGACAGTCGCTGATCGCCTGCCGGGTGGAGAAGACGCGCAGCAGGCAGGACACCCGGCACAGGAGGTTCTCCGGGGCCAGGAGTGCCTGCGGCAGGGTCGCGTGGACACCCACCGGGCCGGCCAGGCTACTGAAGAAGCGTCGAAGTCCTGAGGCCGGGGGGGGGGGAAGAAGGAGGGGGGTGAGCCATTCCGGCCTCGGGCAAGGGCAGAGCCAGGGCGGCCGGCGGCGGGAGGCGCAGAAGGGACAGGCAGAGGAGGCACGAACCGAGGCAGAGGGGAGAAAAGTCCAGCAGGTAAACCGAGCTCGGGGAGAAGATCAGGCACGCCTCGGCCCCGGCCAGGGGAGTTGCCATGAACTGGTGGTCCTGCCCGGTGGCGGGGGCGCCCTGGCCAAAGTTAAAGGCCCGCATGGGGTAGAGCTTGGCGTAGTCGGCCCTCGAGCCGGCCAGCAGCGGGTGCGCGGACACCTCACCGGCGCCGGTCTGCCACTGGGGAAGAATGCCATGCAGGTGCAGAGCGCTGTGCAGGGCGCCGCACCCATAGAAAAGGGTCAGCAGCGCATGGTCACCCGTGACCGGCGTCGCCAGAACCGCGTCGACGGTGCTCGTCGCCGAGGGGGTTGGCAGGGTGGGCTGGAAGTTTGTCGACTCAGGAGACTGTGCCACGCAGGAGGGGGAGGGCCGATCAATAAGTGCGAAGAGGCGGCGGAGGGGGGGGGGGGAGGTGCGAGAGGGAGGCCGGCTTGCAAAGACCGCACTCAAGTTCGGCCGGCAAGCAGGGAGTGACACGCACCGAGAGCAGGAAGGGGCCCTGCACCGAAGGCAGACGCTCGGACCGAAGGCTGGGCATGGATGAGTGTGTCAGAAAGGGCCAAGAAGTACGGCAGACATGCAGGCCCCGAAGGGCGGCAGGCAAGTGAGCCACCAAGAGGATACCTGAACTTGTTGAACTCCACCAGGTACAGCGAGTCCACCCAGGCGGCCTGGGGCGGTGTGCACGGCGCGCGCGCGCACACACACACACACACACACACACACACACACACACACACACATGAGCCAATCGACGACGGAGGCGCCCAACACAGGGGCCGGGAGTTTCGGTCAGGTCGGCGGGAAGGCAACCGAGAGGGCGCATGGAATGCGGGGGAGCGCACCTGCTCGGCCGAGGCGTGCGACACCCGGCAACTGGCTCGCAGAGCGCGCAGAAGCTCCAGGGACATGTGGCACGAGCGCGGCACAAAGGGCGACACGGCATACACCATGCCCGCGGGCGTGGCCAGGAAGACACTCAGTGGCAGCCACCCCTGGCCGGGAGCAGTGGCGGCGGTCTCCGACGACATGGGGGCAGAAGCGCATGCAGCACTCTCGGCGGTGGCGGCCGCAGAGGAGCCCACAGTGGCGGGGCCGGCGCCAAACGCGAAGCAGGACACCGGTAGGTAGGTGTGCTGCATGTGGTCCTGTCGGAGGGCCACCACCGGGTCGCTGAAGCCTGTGTGCAGTGGCCCACCATGGGCGAAGAGCGGCGAGGGAAGGCGAGGGAGAGATGCTCAGCATGACATGGAAAGGGGGAAGGTGCGCCAAGGAGGGCCGGAGGGGGGGGGGGGGGCAAGCAGGGCAGGGCAAGAAGGAGGTGGGCGCGCACCGCGGCGCGACGAGGCCCTGTTCGGGGCCTTGGCCTCCGTGCTCAGGACCAGCGGCAGGAGAAGCTCGCACTCCCGACCGAGGAGACTGTACAGGGACAGGTAGCGACCGCCGTCAGCCTCCAGCAGGATGGCCACGTGCTGGCCATGCGCCGAGAGCGGGTGCCACTCCAGCTGCAGGATGGACACCGCCTTGGCGGCCAGGTGCAGATGGGACCCGGCCAGCTTGGAAGCCGGCAGGTGGAAGGCCGGCAGGGGGCGGTCCGCCGCCCGGGTGCGCAGGAATCCCGCCACATTGACGACCAGCAAATGCCCAGGCCCCTGGAGCAGGAGGAGGGCGCAAGAGGGATTGAGCGAAAGCCGGCTCACCGGGAAGGAGATGGGCTCTGACAGGTGGATGGTCTGGGGTACTTGTCAGGTCCTGACCGTGCAGGCGCTCGTGTGCGCAGTCGTGTGTGTGTGTGTGTGTGTGTGTGTGTGTATGTGTGTGTGTGTGTGTGTGCGTGTAGAAGTGCACGTGAACAGCACGGACCTGGCCAGTTTGAGGGGCAGCAATTTGATCTTTTGTGCAGAACTTGAGGCTAGAGGGACAAACGAGGGGGAGAGAGAGAGAGAGAGAGACGGGGAGTGAGCTCATGTGCGAGGGAGCATGGGGCTCAGGAGGCGCAGGAGGGGGTGGGGAACAACGGCGGCGCACGTTCGGCAGGACGACAGATAGAACGCCCCGCCAAGCGGGCACGGGGCAAACATAATTGCAGTCCAAGGGGACGGGGGAGAGCGCGCGGGGACGGTGGCGTTCTTCGGCGCAAGCAAGCCTGCTCCCTCCACGGGAGAGATAAGGGGGGCGAGGAGGAGAAAGGGCGTCCGTGGGCCGGTGGGCGGAAAGGAGGGGCCCAGAGAGAGAGAGAGAGAGAGAGAGAGAGAGAGAGGGGGGGGGGAGCAAGGGGGCGGAGGGAGGAGGAGGGCAGAGGAGGCAGGAGCGCGGCAAGGAGCAGGATGCACGCCCCGCTGCCGCGCCCACGGAGCCGCCAGACACCGAGAAAAAAGGCCCGCCTGCGCGAGGTAGACACACGAAGGTGCGCGCGCGCGCGTTCAACACAAGGGTGTCCAGCCATCCGTGGGCATGTGCCTCGAGCCGGGCGGCCCCAATTAACTGGGTATAACTCACATCCCCGGTCTGCCGTTCTCGCCTATGATTGTGGTCTATCCTCGTGAGGCTGTGATTGTGGCCATAGTGTGTGGCAAGTGCACGTGTGCACCACCGCGCGCGCGCGTGTGTGTGTGTGTGTGTGTGTGTGTGTGTGTGTGTGTGTGTGTGTGTGTGTGTGTGTGTGTGTGTGTGTTTGTATGCCTGTGTGTGCGTGTGTGTGTTTGTATGCCTGTGTGTGCGTTTGTGCGTGTATGCCTGTGCGTGTATGCCTGTGTGTGTGTGTATCCTCATGCGCAGGCCGGGGATGGGGGAGGCACGCGCTCGCGCTCCTTCAGCATCTTACGCTTCACGGGGCCAGTAGTGCACATGGATGGACGGAACGCGACCGGCCCCGAGGGCTGGCGCGGCCCGGAGACCGGACGAGGACCGCGCGACGCCGGCAGGGGCGAAATACCGAAGTGAGAGTGGAAACGGGCGCCGGCGGGAGGTGCTTTCACGCAGGAGACGCCCTTGGATGGCGGTGGCGGTCGCGTGCATTCGGTCCAGAACATCGGTCCGTGGGGCTGGGCCGGAAGACCTGGAGAATGCTGGGAGCGTGGCTGTTGGCGTGCTGCGCCCTTTTCGGCCTCCCCCCCCCCCCCCCCAAAACGACCGGACTCCGCGAACTTGGGAGTGCTGGTCTTTCTGGTGCGTGCGCGTGGGCCCGTCTCAGGGTGGCCGGCGGGCGCCATTTGTGCGACCGCGGGAGCCCTGGGTCGGGGCAGCCGGCGTCCGGGGGAACATCCCGAAAATCAGTCGTGTGCCCTATGACCGTGGTGCTGGCGAGTCGGGCTGTCCGAGCTATGCGCATAGGGCCCGGGCGAGGCTGCCAGGCCTTCCGGCAGTTCGGGGTCAGGCGCAGAAGCAGGATGCCCGCCTGGGGGCATGCATGCCACGCATGGGCGGGGGGAGGTGGCGAATCGGAGCTGCTCGCGGCCGGGGCCGTCTGCCTCTTCGGCGAAAGGGGCGGCCCCGAGTGCCTGCCGAGAAGAGAGCGGTCCGCTTGGCGCAGAGCCGGCCTGTTGGGGGCCCGGTCACCGCCAACATGCGCCCCGTTCTGGACAAGCGGCCGGCGGTGGCGCCGTGCTGGGGGGCAGACTGCCGAGATGATATCCGCCGTCCGAGCTCCCGGTGCCCATCCCATGCTGAGGGTCCGAAGCGCAGGGGGGGGGGGCGCGAATGGAGCGCGGCGGTGCTCGCGAGGGCCAGCAGGGACATATTGCTTCGAGGAATGCTCGCTGGCCCTTCCCTCGGGCATGGGGCCGCGGCAGGCCCTCCTGGGGGGGGGGGTTCTTTTTCATATCGAACGGAACCGAGTTATTGGGCCTCCCGAGACTGCGGCACCGCGCCCAGCACGAACCCTTGCCATGGGCTGCCACTTGATGGAGGCATGCTCGGGCCGGCTTTGGGTGGCGGAGGGGGGCATGTATCGACACACCGGCCCGCGCCGACGGATGCGCCGCTCTTTCCGTGTGCACGCCCTCGAGGGCGCGTTCGCCTGGGGACCGGCGGAGGACGGGGCCGACGCGGTCGAGGCTCCGCGCGCAACATCAATGGCCCGGCGAAGGGGCGAGTCCTCTCCCGGGGCCAGGGGGCCACTTCATGCGCGGGCATGCCCCGAAGGTTGCCCGGGCAGAGCGTTAGCTCGCAGGGCGCCCGGCGGGTGGGTGCCGCTCGCCGCCGCCCAGCTGGGCCTCAAGTCGAGGGCGCCCGGGCCCCGGGGTTGGAGTAGGGATGTCCGGGCCCCCATGATGTGCGCGGGGGCTTCTGAGGGCCGGTGGGCGGTGCGGCAGGTCGCCTGGCAGCCTGGCAGACCGGCGCGCCTGGGCCTCCCGCCAGGCGTCCTTCGGCCGCGGCCTCGGGGAGCTGCTACGAGGGAGGGAGGACCAGCGGGCCCCCTGCCGGCGAAGGGGGAAACCCGAGCGGTTCGTCAGCGGGCGCCGTGTGATCGTCAAACCTACCGTTGGGAAGCCGGGCCCCGGCCCGGGGTTTAACATGGCACGCCGGGGCGTACGGCGGGGAGCCCCGCACCTGGGGCCCGTGTCGCCGTTTAGCAGGGTGCCCTGGTCGGCCTGCACATGGGTCCGTCCGGGTCCAGGTGTCGGTTTTCCGGCCGACAGCCGGCGGCGACCTGGCGTGCGTCCGGCCCGGCGCGCCGGGCCAGAGCCTGCTGCGGCTACTTGGGAGGGAGGTGGCCGAGAGCGCGGGAATGCGCCACACTTGCGACCGAAAGAGCGGTCAAACACCGGGCGAGGGGGCGGGAGGAGCCGGCCACGCGGCCACCAGGGGCTCCGGGGCCGTGGGTCGCGGAGAGAACAAGAGAGAACGAGAGGGCGAGAGAGAGAGAGTGAGGGAACAAGAGGGAACAAGAGACAGAGAGACAGAGAGCGAGAACAAGAGAGCGAGAGCGAGAGAAAGAGCCGGCCTCCCCCAGGTGCATGGATGGGCTGCGAAGTCCAGCGAAAGGGACAGCGGCCGGGTGTTGGTCGCACGAGCCAACACGACCCACGACTTTGCTCGCGGTGCGCTGGTGGCCCTGGCAGGTGGCGTGTCGGGCCCCTCCGCTCCCTCGCTCTCCCTCGCCCTTCCAAGGGCAGCAGGTGGACGTGATCCGGCTGGCGTCGGGCAACCGACAGAGGGACCGCCGGCCAGACGGTCGGGCATTTCAGGTGGCCGGCCTTTGGCGAATGCGAGGGAGGAGGGGGACAGGGCGTAACCCGGGGGAGGGGCGGAGCCCAGGCAGGGCCCCGCTGTTGACCCTGCAGAGCGTATCCCTCCAAAGACTCTCGGAGGGCGGGAGCCCTGCCCGGCGGGTGGTCTCAGATGGCTGCCCCGGGCGCAGGGCGGCAGGGGAGCCACGCCCAACCAAGCGATCCGCCCCCGCCTCCTCGCCCGAGTGGGAGACCGTGGAGCCAGGATGGCCGGGGGAATGTCTCCAAGGATGGGGGGGCGGGACCAGCGATCGCCCGAATGGGCTGCCCCCCCCCCCCCCCCCCACGGAGGCCCACCGCTCGATGGGGCGCGCGGGCGCCGAGAATGGTTGGGCACGCGCGGGGGGGCGGGGGGCGTGTGAGATAAAACCTAGGCACCAACGCACAAGCAAGAGGTAAGGCGCTGAGAGAGGCCCCGGCCGCCGAGCCATTTTCCCTTCAAACAGGCCCCCGGGGCGTGGGCCGAAGACCACCGGCCGGGAAACAAGGACATCGGGCCGTGAGCTAGGGGGAGAAAGAGAGCGGGTACCCGCAGGCGGCTGGGGGCCGTCCGGCCAAGTGTGAGCCCCGGCATTGGCTCTCGCAGCACCCAGGAAGGCTGGCGGACGCCCCCGCATGCGCGCGCACGCGGCCACAAACACACAACACGCTCACGCGCGCAACGCACGCCCGGCATTTTGCGCTGAAACGCCGCCCGGCGGCCCCCTGCAGCAGGATACCGTCCGGCAATGGGCCCCCCCCCGGCCGGGGGAAGGGCGAGTTACCCAACACAATGGGGGAGGGGCACAGGCTCGGCTCGCGCGCCATGGTCGTCCGGCGAGCGAGCGAGCGTGCGCGCGCGCGCGGCACCGGCAGCGAGGCGTTGCCGTGGTGCCTGGAGTGTCTGCCGCGGGGGAGCACGGACAGTTGGCACTTGGGCGCCGCACGCCCCGGGACCTTGGCGGCGCCGGCCCTTCGCCCGGGAGGGGGAGAGCGCCGGTCAAAATACCGGGCAGGCGGGCGGTGCTTCGTCGACGGCGGGGAACTCCCGTCCGCGCCCCCCCCCCCCCCCCCCCGGTGCGGCTGCCGCTGCATTCGTCCCTGTACCGAGCGGCAACATGCGTCGGCGGCAGGCGACCGTCTCGGCGCCTGCTGCACCTGTGCCAGGCCCATGTGCTTTTAGCGAAGAAGCTGTATTCCCATCCGTGGGGCCCCCCCGAGCGTTGAGTGTGCCCCCGGTCTGTCTCCCTCTCTCTCTCTCGCGCTCGCACTCGGACTCGGCTAGACACATTCCGAGAGTGTGCTCTTGTCACTGTAAAGAGTGGCGGCCGCGAGGCGAGGGCACGCAAGAAAGAAAACAAAAGACCCAGTTGTGCCTGTGCCGAACGTTCAGCCGCCACTGGCTGAGTACCGGGGGAGGGGGGGGG